TCTAACTTCATAATTAATATACTTACAAGAATTAATAAAATTAATAACATTTAATCAAGCAATAATTAATAAAAACAAATTTATTAATATGTTATTAAATAAAGTTCAATAACATTTATTAAACAAAATTAGTATTTAATAGAAAATAATAAAAATGTCAATTTATTATTATTCCAAAATAATGTTAATATAAAATAAAACTAAAATTAAAATTATTATTAAAAGTAATTAATAATTAAATTCCAAACAATTCCATTAATTTTATTAAATTAAAATTTGTTAAAGTTCCATCTCTCTCTCTCTCTCTCTCTCTCCCTCTCTCTCTAATAGTGTATAGTTTTATTAATCTATATTACTGTTTTATATTTTTAAAACAAAAGAAATTAAGAAAAAATACAAAAAAAAATGGAGAAAATAGGTAAATAGCTTCTCTCAAATGAGAGACATGCTCACATGGACAAACCTATATATATATATAGATACACAGAGAGAGAGAGAGAGAGAGAGAGAAAGAGAGAGAGAAAGCTCCCAATCCCCTTAGCACACACTAGGCCTTGGAGCTTTCTCCTTTGAGAGCAGCTATTTACCTATTTTCTCCATTTTTTGTATTTTTTCTTAATTTCTTTTGTTTTAAAAATATAAAACAGTAATATAGATTAATAAAGCTATACACTATTAGAGAGAGACCTTTGGGTTTTTCAAGGCCTCTTATTTTAATGCATGTTATTATTACATTTAAGAGAGAGAGAGAGAGAGAGTAGTAATAATATAAATCAAGGTTTTTAAAACCGAACTAGACAACCAACCCGGTTAGAGGTCTGGTTCCCGGGTTGAACGGTGCGATCGTTCAAACTAGGGTTGTTCATAAGAAGGCCCAACCCAACCAAACCGACCAACCCGGACCGACCCAATCCGAGTCGGCCAGGTTTTCATCAGCACGGGTCGGTTTCGGGTTGTGCAAATTCCTAAACTGATGGTTCGAGTCGGTTTCGGTTTTCACACAAGAAAACCGAAACCAACTCAAACCGAACCGACTTAGTTCCTAGTTCAAACATGAAGTTCCAAAGCCCATTAGGCCACCTAGTTTTTGAATGGTTGGAAGAAACTTTGGATTAGTGAATAGTGATTAATGAACAACTTTTGTGATTAACTTTTCATTTAAATTTTATTATAGGAGATGGCTGAAATGATGTTCAATTTATGTTCAATTTAAATTTTAGCAAGATTTTATCACAGGGATGAACTTAGGACCAAAACTGACCCAAACCGACCCAACCCGACTCAAACCGACCAGGTCGGTTTTGCTTAGCACTGGGCCGTGTCGGTTGGAAAAACTGCAGTAAACCGACCCAACACGACCCATGAACAGCCCTAGTTCAAACTAAACGGATGACCCATTCTGATAAAAAATTAAAAAATGGCCAAAATCGTTGGACGGTTCAAACAGTTTGACAGCCTAGGTCAGCGGTTTGCTGACCAAATCAACGGTTTTTGGTGAAATAACGGTTCTGGGGTAAAATGGAACCGATCAGTTCCCAATTTTTCTAGTCCGGTCCGGTTTTGAAAACCATGATATAAATCAAATAATATAAATAGGTTGTAGTTAAACAATCAAAAAATTATTAATTTAAAAATCCACTAAATTTTCACTAAAAATAAATATTAACAAAACTTAGTAAATATTAAAAATGTGTTTCAATTCCACTTAAAAATCCAACTTAATAAACGCTAATAGAAAATAAGAAATTTAAATATAAAAATATTAATTGATAGTTATAATAATATTATTAGATAACTTATGAGTTGAGACCTTAATAAATGCTAATAAAAAATATTAATTGATAGTTTTAAAATACCAACAATTAATTAAAAATCAGAAAAATTCTGAAAAAACTAAACATAATTAAAATACTAAAAATAATTAAAAAATATTGAAAATTAACAATATTTTATATTAATAAGGGTATTTAATTAAAATAATTAAAATACAATTAATAGTATTTTATTATTAAAAAATACAAAAAATTATTAAAAAATACCCAAGCTAGAAATTATTGAAAATTAGTTGTATTTTTAATAACTATGGTATTTATTTAGTTATATAATTATTTTTACTGAAAGCAAATGCAAATTAATTTTGTAGTGACTAATATGCAAAAATAATGAAAATACTGGAAATTATTGAAAAATACTCATATGCAAAAAATACTGAATAATAATGAAAAAACACCAAAAATTAATTAAAAATCCAAAAAATTCTGAAAAGCCTACAACTTAATTAAAATACTAAAAATAATTAAAAATATAAATTAATTGTATTTTATTGCAAAAAAATACTGAATAATAATTAAAAATAATGTATTTTCATTATTAATGGTAATATAATTAACAAAAATTATTTTTAAACTATAATTAGCAGTAATTATAATTTAAGCTATAAGTAGTAGAAAAATACATTTAATTAGTTTTAGCCAAGAAATTAGCAATATTTCTGAAAATATGACAATTTCCATAAATTACTGTATCTTAAATAGATACGGTAATTTAATAATTATAAAATTTTAACCGCTAACAATATTTTAATAATTAATAATAAAAAGTAACAAATCGTTTATAACTTAACCTAACCCAATTAGGTCTATAAATTTGCAAGATCAAGCAACTATTTTCTTTTGAGTTAGGTCTAGTTGAGATACGCACCATGCCTACTCATTATTAGGGATAATTAGATCCAAAGTCTAATTTGGTATCAAACTTTTGGAATCCAATGATAGCTTTAGCGGATAGGGCCCAAGCTAAACAACCCCTAATGAGCTCAACTTGGAAGTTATATGCATATGTGGTAAATATTATTATATAATATTTAAATAACAAATTTTATATTAATATATATATATATATATATTATATATTTTTTATACTAGACTAGAATTAAATAAAAAATTTAATTTGTAAAAATCATAGTTTTATAATTAACACTGGCCTCTTTATCAACAGAAAATGTGCAAGCCCGAGCCCAAGCCCGGCTTGACCATCAGCCCTAGATCTTGAGCCTGAGCCCAACCCTTATATAAAGCCCGAAGCTCAAGCCCGATTTATACACAAAATGTCTTATTTTCAATATACTTTTATAAGCTAATATTATATTAATTTAGTAATAATTTAATAAACTAATTTATATTTGTTAATAGTAAATTGATATTTATTAATAATTTAAGAAGCACATACCTTTTTATATATGTAATAGTATTCGGCTAGGCTTATTTGAGAAAGCTCGAGCTCGAGCCCACGAGCCTAAAATTTTGTCCAAGCGTGAAAAATAGCAGGTCAGACTGGGCTGGGCCGTCGGGCTACATGGCCCATGAATAGGTCTAATTGTATATATATAAACAATTGTATACATCAAAAATCATATGAAATAAAAATTTAAACATCTTTTTCATTTTTTTAAATGGATCTCTCATAGCTTGGCTCGGTTTGCGGCGTGGCCTGACCCAAGGCTCGGCCCAACATGACCTGATTTACACCGCTACTTGAACACGCCCAATACTAGGGACAAGGCGGGGAAATTCGAGGATTTCCCATCCTTGATGAGGAGTGGGGTCCCTTGCCCCTGAACTCACTCAACATCGAGGAGTGATTGTCTTGCCTTGAACCCGCTTGACATTGAGGACGGGGTGGGAATGGGGTAGAGTGTCTTGACGATGAGGCAGGGACAGGGATGCTTGCCCCTGAACTCGCTCAACATCGAGGAGTGATTGTCTTGCCTTGAACCCGCTTGACATTGAGGACGGGGCGGGAATGGGGTAGAGTGTCTTGACGATGAGGCAGGGACAGGGATGCTGGKGCCCTGTCTTGAATCCACCCGTTGTCATTCCTATATAATTGTTAATTATTAGTGAAATTAATAAAAATGTTAGTTTTTGTAATTATTTTTATTTATTTAAAGTTAATCAAAATTTCATTTAAAAGTAATAAAAATTATTAAAATTACTATAAATTATTAATAAAACTAAATTTATTAAAAAATATTTATTCATATTAAATTAAGAATAATTATTTTATGTAAATCAACTTTAAATAAAAATACAATTATTAAAATTTTAGATATTAACAATAATTTTGAATACTTTTAGTTAATTAACAAAAAAGATTAATTATTAATTTAATAATAATTAATATTAAATAAAATTATTAAATCTTTTAGATTTTTCCCGGGTCCCTGCTAGTATAGAAACAATCTGGATCATGTAGGCACAATACTCCCACCCTTCCCTTGAAAAAATTCAAAACCACTTTTGAAAGTTGTAAGAATATTTATCTAAGTGCCCATTAAACGTGCTTACTATATTGTGCCTACTAGATCCGGATTCATATATAAATACAACATGAACTTGAAAAGAGTCCAAGGTGGCCAAGAAAGCTAACAACTCCGGGCTAAAGTTCCGATCTAAAAGAGCAACATTATAGCGGGCCAGATATCGTTGGAGATCCAAATACAAATAATAGGCTAGGGATGCAATACAAAGTGGTGGATGAAGCACTTCTGAGGGGATGAGAACATTGTTGGTGATCCACAACAGTCTGCAAGCTCTCTCTCTCTGCTTTTCAATTTTCATTTAAGTTAGCGCACCCCACACACGCCCCACCCCAACATGCACTGGGAATGCCTTCCACATTTCATGGCCTCATGGGGAGATATCCCAATGCTCAATGCTGGCATGGATCTATATTGAGAATATCTCTCGTATAGTCGTATCTATTATAATACTAAGGCGGGAAGGGTCTTCGTTAAGAAGACGTGGCCTTTCCTTACTGCAGGATAAGGTATCCACACGTGATTTTTTTTTCACGTGCAAAAATCTCTTCTAGCGGGATGAGGTATCCGAACGTCACGTGAAATCTCTTCTTTGTGTGTTGTCTTCTCCCTATAATTTATTGCATGAAAGATACGTGTCTTAGTGAAATTGATTGCTTTTTCTCTGGTTCCTCACAGCTTCCGGTACCGTCCTCTCACCTCGCGTTGCAGTTTCCAGTACTGTCCTCTTTATTCTTCCGTTGACGTCTTTCTCAACTCTATTCTCTCATCGATCGTCTTCTTCTCAATCCTCTCTCCCTCCTCTGTCTTTGGATCCTGAATCTTCAGTTAATGCTTGGTATTATACTATTATACTGAACCCCATTAATACAGGGAAGAACTGTCACAGAGATTAATTGTGAAACTCGTCTACTTGGGATTTTCCTTTTAATTAAGCATGGCGGGAGACGGGAACTCTCAGCATAGGCAGCTCGATCAGACACCCACATGAGCAGTTACTGTCGTTTTTAATTCTATAATTAGAGTGTGTTTTCTTCTTTTTCTCTCGTGTTTCTCACTTGAGTTTCTGAAGAAAATTAATCGGTACCTTTTATTTTTTTACTGGTTTTCTAGTTTGTATCTTGAGTTCGAGTTGCATAGATTGGCCTTCTGTTTTTTTTTTTTTTAGAATCATTTTTAGTTTTTTTTTGGTCTTTTTTTCTTTAATTTTGTCTATATTTACATGGTTTATGCCAAAAAAGAGAAGAAACGAATGCTTTTCTACTTTATAGTCAGTTGAAAGAAGACTGTCTTGGGATTTTCCCTTTGAACTTGTCGAGTTGTGTACTTGCTCTTTATTTTAGATTTTTTTTTTTTTTTTTTATCTTGGTTTTGTAGTCTGTTTATTTCCTATCTTGCTTGGTTTCTGGCATGTTTTAATTTCCTTGTGTATAGAATCTTCTGTGTTTCCTTATTCTTTCTTGTTTGTTGTAGAGGAGAAGGAGATTGGTGATTCGTAATCTCTCCTTTCTGTCCTTTGCTCCTTTCATAAATTGACAGAGTGTACAAAATTTCTTATTTCCCTACCTTTTTCAAATTTCAACTCAGTTTTTAGGTGCCAAGTGCTGTTTCACATTAGTAGCCTACCTGGTTCTTTTATTTACTGGTCGTGGCTTCTGTGTTGTTTTGAATTCAGTGGTTTACAAAAAACGCAAGAGGTCTCTATTTGAAGCTCTTGAGAAGATTAAAACTGGTAAGAATTGCTGTTGAACAGGAGAAGAAAAAAAAGTTTCTTGACTTGTGATGTTTCTGTTGTTCTTTCAAGAAACTCTGTTTTCCTTTCCACTTGGACCTGGGTGGTTGGTGCATCAATCACAATCACAATGGCTGATCAACTGTATTCTGGTGAATCTGTAGAGCTTATGGTTATGGGTTTTATTTCCTTACTGCTGTCATTCTTGGGGAGCTACATTCCCAGAATATGTATTCTAGAGAACGTTTCGCATGCAATGCTGCCATGCCCTTACGAAGAACCTCGTCGGAAGCTATTATCAAGTCAGCACAGACCATTAGCGGCCAATAATGGTGGGTAATATATGCGTTAAGCTTATTAATTTCGTTTGTATTTATTACTCATATTTTGTAGTATTATTGTTTTTTTAATATTTTTGTTTTAATTCCGTTCAAATATTTTAGTTTAATTTCTTGTACATTATTTTATAATAAATGCATTAAACCTATTAATGCACATATACTCCAACGATTAGCACATGGTGAATATTTTCTAAAGTAATGACTTTAAATTGTGAGAGAGATAATATCTTATCGTTAACCCCTGCAACGCAGGGGCATCTCGCTAGTATGTATGTAAAGTTGATAAGCTCGTGGAAATATATTTCCAGTATACGTACGTATGTATGATTGGAATCCCAACACAGGATTTCAACAACCAGTCTCAACAGCAGCCGTGAATTGAGAACATCTCCCTAGTGTGCTTCTTGGCGAGATGTTACGGATGTAGAACTACATTACATTAGCTGTCGGATCCGGACTCGTGGTGCGCATACGAAGAGCACTGGGCAGTGGCCACTCGTGTCTCGTGCGGGGCAACTACGAAAATTGAAATTGGAAAACATCGGGTCACGTACCGAAAGCATGAGGTTTGTTTTGTAGATTGTTAACGTGTCAGATTGCAGCTGATGTGATCTTCCTCGGAAGAAGTTCGTTAATTGTTGGTCCCATTTAAGGGTTGATTTCCAATAAAATCGCAATCGCTTGTAAGAGTGCGGCAAACCAAGCATTTTCCCGTTATGTTGTTGGTCTTATTATTTTGTCTGCGGCATTCCTTCGATATCCTGATCAATCACAATAAGGTTACTCTGTTCTCTGGACGAACTTAAAGGAGTAGGTAAGCCCTTATTATTTCCCTGCATTCATCCGCGGAAATTATTGTTGTTCCTCAATTTATACTATCCATCTATTACGTTATTGAACCTTGTAGAAATCTTAATCTTCCATGAATTCGTTTGTCTTGTTTATTTTCTCCAATACTGCTTGGGCTGGGAATTTCTCATTATCTTGTATTTTTTTATTTTAGTTGAGTGTCGGAAAAGAACAGAACAAATGAATTCTAATGGTGATAAAAAGGAGAACTGTTATTGACAAGCCTTTCTATTTCATTGTGTTTCTGGAACAGGATTTGCTAAGCTTTTCTTTTGTTTTTCAAGTAATGTCGTCGGAGGACAAACCCACGACAAAGGAAGGGGAGGAGGAGCAAGGAGGTTTCTTAGGAAAGGTGAAGGAATTTATCAGTGACATTGGAGAGAAAATTGAAGAAGCCGTTGGATTTGGGAAGCCCACTGCCGATGTCACGGCCATCCATATTCCTTTTATAGACCTAAAGAAGGCTGACCTTGTTGTTGATGTCCTAGTCGCGAACCCAAATCCAATCCCAATTCCCCTTGTTGACATCAACTACACAGTTGAAAGCGATGGCAGGAAGCTCGTCTCTGGCCTTATCCCGGATGCAGGAACCGTCCATGCCCATGGATCAGAAACCATTAAGATCCCATTGACACTGATCTATGATGATATCAAGCAAACGTACGATGACATTAAGTCGGGTAGTATAATTCCTTACAAGGTTATTGTTGAGCTTATTGTTGATGTGCCAGTTATAGGGAACATTACACTGCCTATGGAGAAGACCGGAGAGATACCTGTGCCTTACAAGCCTAATGTGGATTTGGAGAAAGTAAAGTTCGATCAGTTTTCTTGGGAGGAAACCAGTGCAACCCTTCACCTGAAAGTAGACAATGAGAATGACTTCGATTTGGGGTTGAACTCCTTGGAGTGCGAGGTCTGGCTTGCAGATATGAGCATAGGGGGAGCCCGTCTTTCTAAGTCGGCAAATATTAGTAAGAAAGGTCAAGGGGTTGTCGAGCTTCCAATCACATTCAAGCCAAAGGATTTTGGGTCTGCAATGTGGGAAATGATAAGAGGAAGGGGAACCGGTTATTCTATGAAAGGTTGTCTTGATGTTGATACCCCATTTGGACCTATGAAATTGCCTTTCAATAGAGAGGGAGGTAACACACGCCTCAAAAACTCGGATGACAACGATGATGAGGTACCTCTTTCCATGGATACTTTATTCATTAAGCATGCGGCATTTTATCTAATTGCGTTCTCTCTTGCTAATACACCTTACTCTTCCCTACTGCATACAAGAACTTATATCATATCCTTTTCCTTCTTAGAACTCTGTAAGTTTTATTTACAAGTGAACTACTTGAATGGGGAAACTAAATTATGCTGACAAAATAGAAGTATATTTGGAAAAGGTTGTCTTGCAAATACATTAAAAGACATGAGGAGGCTTCCAAACTGATTCTCCATATTGTGTGGCAAAACTGTTGAAAACACTAATGTGCTTTGTCCGACAAAACATAACTTCTACTAAGTTCAGTAACCAAATAGTGGAACTGCCATGGCTTTCTTCACCCCGAGAACATTTGGTTGGCAAGTATTGCAAAAGGATCAACCATACTTCAGGGTCTATAATCATTGCATTCAATGAAGATGATGGTATGTAAACATTAGATGAGGTGCAGAGGTAAAGAAATAGCCGACTGTCCAGGGGGAAGCATGGTTTTGAGCTCTAGACCATCTATTTTTCTCCCTTTTGAAATCTAAAAGGCCATTGTCCAATAGATGACCATTACTTTGATATAGTCATTTGCTTGACACTTGATAGTATGTCTCTATTTGGACATCGACTGGCATTTCTATCACAAGTGATCATTTGCTACAAGATTGTAACATCAATACAATACCTACTTGTAAGGTTAAGAAAATAAGGAATTCAAAACAGAAAATTGCATATTCAAGAAATAGTTTGCCAAGCTTATCAATTGTGATAGAGGATATTTGAATATAGTAACCTTAGCATGATTCTGACCTTATATTATGGTTAACAAATGGTCTTGGTCTTTTTTCTCTATGATCATATTTGCCAACTGGAGAAATCCCGATCCATCTTTTCCTGTGGTAAAGTGTCTCATATAATACCTTCTCATTGTGTTCCTATTTGGTGCAGGACTGAACACAATAATCAGAGATAAGAATGATATGCTTGAGGCATCGTGGAAACTTGTGTTGTAACTTTCTTGCTTGATTATTTGTTTAATTGTTGCAACTCAACCATGAAGTTTAGAGTTCTGGGAAGTGTTTCATGTCCTTTGCTTTCAGAGCTAATTATCTAATATGATTATGTTTTAGCCCACCAATTTTAAGAAACATTTGAAAAACTTTGTTAAGGAACTGAATTATGGTTCAAACTTACCAAAAAAAACTGCATTATAGTTCAACAAACCCTAACCTCTGAAACTAAGAGCACTGTTTTTAAACATGATGTAAGAAAGGGGACTTTACAGGAATAGCAGAACAGAAATGATGGTTACCACTTTCCATTCACTGGTAATCGGCTTGCCCATCTCTGCCTACTGGGAAGTTGTTTCTGGAAATCCCTATCTCCTGGATTGGTGGTGGTTCCATTATGGCATTATAAAAGATACTAACTCTGTTCTTTTTTGAGTTCATTTTATAAACTCTATCACGTAATAAATATTAATACATACTGTGAGTTTTATTTGAAAGAACATTTCTTGAGTAGCCCCTCCTTTTGTGACTCCAGATCTTCTAGTAACAAACAATGCTAGGCACCTCATGGGTTTGTTCCACCAGTCCTCAACACATGAACATGTATTTCTGCATATGTTTTTTGAGAACTCTCAAGTGTTAGGACAGGTGGCACAAACTGTGATGTGCCTAGTGTTCTTTGTTACTAGCAGATTGGGAGTCTTTTCAGCACTTAACATACTACTAGCACTCAAGATGGCCAGCCTCATTGAAAAAAAAAAATCCTTGGGCTTTTTGTTTTTGTTCCATGCAAATTGACAGTGGGCTACACCATGGGGATAAGCCCATCCCCCATCCCCTTAAAACCCCCCAACCCTGGTGGCAATGGGAATAGATCCCGGGTCTCTGCTGCAACAAAGCAGCAAAGTACCAACTGGGCCACTGACGTTGACAAAACCCTTGGCTTAAGTTAACAAAGAAATCCAGATTTCTTGCCATTTCCGGTCCTCCATATTTCAATGGCTTGTAAATTCAGCCTGCTGCTAGTTTGGTTCATCTCTTCAATAAATAATTCATGCACATCTACATCTCCACTTTAATTTAACTCTTATGTTTAAAGAGGGACGCTCGGTCTTACCAATACTAACATAAGGTTATAATTTGATTAGCATCCCCTTGTTTGACCAATCATGATCAGTCTGGTGTTATTGTAGCTCCATTCCAGAGAGCATGCCTCCAACAAGAAATTCATGGATTTTTCCACCATTTTCTATCCAACTACATCCAGGAGTCTTGTGAGCCTTATGATGTTTCATTGCTGCTCTTGTATCCTCAACATCCTCCCATCTGCCCGAGGCTGCATATATGTTTGATAAAAGCACATAGTTTGCATCATCCTTGGGCTCCAATTCAAAAAGATGTTGAGCAGCATACTCCCCAATTTTAGTGTTCTTGTGGGTTGTACAAGCACCAAGTAGTGATCTCCATACACTAATACCAGGTTCAATTGGCATGCCATCTATAAATTTTTTAGCATCCTCTAACAGTCCTGCTCGACCTAAGAGGTCAACCATGCAAGCATAATGTTCCATATTTGGTGAAATGCCATATTCTATGGTCATAGAATTGAGATACTCGTATGCTTCATGAACTAAGCCCCCATGTGCACATGCGATCAACAGACTCAAGAAGGTGAAATTATTTGGCCTCATCCCCTCTTTCAACATGCCCCCAAACAATGACATCGCTGCTTTAAAGTGCCCATTAGTAGCAAACCCATTAATCATAGCACTCCACATAACAACATCCCTAGGAAAAGTTCTCCTGAAAACATTATAGGATTCTGCAATGCTTCCACATTTTGCATACATATCTAAGAGGGCAGTTTCTATTGACAGATCAGACCCAAGTTCCGACATATTCAATAACTCTTCAATTTCCTTTCCTTTTTCAATTGCTCCTAATTCAGCACACGAAGATAGTGCACTTAGAAATGTGACTTTGTTAGGCTCTAATCCCAAATCCTGAATCGTATTGAAAACTTCCAAGGCCTCCTTAAAATAGCCGTTCTTGGTGTATCCATTTATCAAAGCATTCCAAGACACAACATCCTTTCTTGGCATTCTATCAAACAGTTCGCGAGCTTCATCGATAAAACCACACTTAATATACATATCCAACAAAGACGTGGAAACCACAGTATTCATTTCCATGCCAGTCCTAACCAAGTAATCATGAGCCCGTCTTCCTCTCTCAATGTCTCCTAATTGAGAGCAAGCGGAAATAACACCGACCATAGTAACTGAATTTGGTCTTAGCCCCAAACTCTGCATCTGATCAAACATATCCAGAGCTTCTTTAGGACATCGATTCTGAGTATACCCGGCAACCATTGCACTCCAAAGAACAACATCAGCTCCTTCAACACGGTCAAAAATCAATCGAGCTGAAGCCAGATCACCAATACTAAAATATCCTGAAATCATCGAGGTATGAGAGACGATATCCCTTTCAGTCATTTCATCATATAGACGGCGTGCTTCATCAACGAACCCACATTTCGAATACATATCCAGGAGACAGTTCATGATATAAATATCCGACTGGAAACCATACTTCATTACGTTAGTATGAATCTGTTCTCCTTCTAGGAACGCCTCCAAACCACTACAAGATTTAAGAACAAAAGGGTAAGTAAGGTGATTTGGGTCAATACCTTGTCGACACATATCAGCAAAGAAGACTATAGACTGGTGGTAATGTCCATTTTGAGCGAATCCTCTTATCATGGAAGTCCACAAATAAGAGCTCGGGTGCGGGATTTGATGAAAAATAGAAGAGGCTAGATGCATCTGGCGAGCAGAGTTGCAGAAATCAATGAGCTTGGTCGCAAGAAAGCTTGAATTTTTTAACCCATTTGTGAAGAATTGCGCAAGGATTTGATTGAATTGGCGAATACGAACAGTCGATTTTAATAAGCAGATGCATTTGTCTTCTGGCCTCTTATTTCTTTCAGTGATCAAGCGTGCGTTTGATATTGATGATTGGAGAGCTGTTCTCACCTTCATCAGTCTATCACCTCATGGTGTTTACCCCCCCATGGCGCGAAAAAGTTAATATAATTATGTTTTTTTTGTCATTACATATTCTAATAAAAGTTAAAGTCTATCACCTCATGGTGTAACCTTATAATTTTGTCAGCCAAAGACTGGCCCATGGTTATTAACACGACGCTATAACCAACTGAGCTAATAAAACACGATTTTTTTTTTCTTTATAAATAGTTTAATGTAAACCCAAAGGGCTTTTTACAAAAAATTTGATGAAGTCTGATATATTGACAAAATCAGAAACGTTTAAAATGAAATTAGGACAAAAAATTCAACATTTTCAGACCAATTTGTCCTTTCTTAAATTCCTCAATTGGAAATTTGAAACCATTCATCTAGACCTGGCAATCGGGTTGGGTGGATCAGGTTCGGGTTGGGTCAAGGTATTTCAGGTTGATTTCGGATGGACTTGTCAAATGCTAGACCCTAACCCTAAATGTTCGGGTTAGGCTTGACCCATGGGTCAATTCAGATCATCCTAAAAAATAATTGAAATTTAAAAAAATAAAAAAAATTACATGAAAAATGTCAAAATTAAAAGAATTAACCTTAAAATTCTAAATATAAAATAAAAACTTGAACTTTTAACTATTTAAAGAGTAAACAACAATATGTAAAGAGTAAATAATAAAAATTAAAGAATGAAAACTTTTAACAATGTATAAAAAATCTTAATTAGACTTGACAATTGGGTCAGCGGGTTGACGCATGACCCAACCCAACCTAGTTTTTTTGGGTCGGGTCAAACCATTTCACATTCGGGTTATTAAATATGAGACTCTAACCCTATTTTTTCGGATTAGGTTGGGTCGGATTCACGGATTGAATCAACTTTTTGCCAGGTCTACATTCATCATATCCTTCCTTCGAACACCACCAATAGTGGCGGCAAATTAAGATCTCTTTCCTGGCTCTCTCTCTCTCTCCTCTTCTTTTTCCCCATTTCATTAACGTTATCTTCTTTATCTTCTCCCTCCTCCCTTGCTGCTACTTTTAGCTAACATGATGCGGCAATAAAAATCAGGAATTCTCTTCTTGTTCAGAGAAAAACATGTTTCTCTAACAAATTCGTTTTTTAAAGCCAGTAATGATTTTTCTCTCTTTTTCATTCATCTTTCTCATTGTATCCAGGTCTTTGACGAGTTTTGAGGAAAGACGTTCCTCCAATAACTTCTATAGCCTTTTCTTATGTTTCTTCTTGATCCATTTTATTTCCATTGATCTTTTTTCACAAGAGCTTTGAGAAACCCTAACTTAGCACACACTAGAGGAGAATTGGGTTAGAACAGTCACATAAAATCAGACAATGGGTGGAAGGTATTCATGTCTAACATCCCCATCTATTTTCTCGTGTGTGCCTCATCTAACTCTCATATGTTGTGATGTGTCTGATTTTCATTTCGGACTGCAAAATGGTTTGAAGAATGGAGACGATCAACAGTTTAGTTGGGAGGAGGGATTTTGATGGTTGGGTCTCTTTTGACCCTTCTGATTAGTCCTTATGGATTCACCGTTCAAACCACCCAAGGGTTTTATGGTCTCAAAATCTAAAAAATCAAATTGGAGTTCTTTTATTGCATTCTCTTATTATTGACTCTGGGATAGGGTTTTACATGTTTCTCTACAATTGAAGAATGAGATAAAACTCTGCATATTTCTTCCCCTGGTTGAAGAAGAAATGAGGGTTTTATTTTCAATGGATTTTCCCTTTTCATTTTCCTTTTTATCGAATTGGGCATCGAACAAAATTTCAATTATTTTTTAAGAAAAATTTTAGATAGATAATCTATATTTTAGGCCGAGTGTCAATGTAGTATTGGATTTTAAAATGCGACTATCTAATATCGGGACTTTCATTTTACAACAAACTAATGCCTACGATTAATGGACTGTAAATTTGTATATCACGTGACCTGCGATTTAAGACTTAAAAATATCAAATTATCCTTGAAAATAAAATACACTTTTCGTCGTCTTCTTTCTTAACAAAATGAAAAAGAACCCAAACGGTTCGTCGCTGGCTGCTTCGCTCTGCTGGATGCGTCGGATCCCGTGTAGGCGAGCACAGAGGCAGAGCAGAGCAGAACAGAACTTTTGCTTTTTAATGCTAGAATTGTGGTATCTTCCATGCATCGGATCCCGTCGGATCAAATCCTGCACCATCTCGTATTCTCTCTGCAACAACACAAAAATGCCATAAAACACTAGCACAGATGCAGAGCATAAACAGAACACGGAACCCATGAAATGAAACACAGAGAGTGAAGAAACCCAACTTTTGCTTTTTATTCCTCCTCTCCCTCTCCATCCCCCTCTCTTCACATCTGTCTATCTCTCTACTTTATCTTTTCTGAAAATTCGACCTCCCTTTTTGTGAGGATGGTTATTTAAATTATTATTTCGAGGGAGTGGGGGGACTTCGCTACGAGTTCCACAGAATGATTTACCGATGAAATGGCTGTACTAATGATAGCTCATAATAACAGTAATTGCAGCAAGAACAACAACGACAATAACTTTAAAGAAAAACCAGTTTTCCTTTTCCATGAGTTTCTAGGCATGAACTGAAACTGATGAGTGCAGATTTGGCCCTCCACTGAAATTATGATACCTAGCACCTCATGCAGCGTCTTGACAATTAGACAGCTCGAACTAGCTACAGGTAGGTCGTCACCTACAGGTAGCTCGCCACTCACAGGCAGCTCGCCACTTACAGGTAGCTCGGCATAGGCAGCTCGGCATAGGTAACTCGCCACAGGTAGCTTGCCACTTACAGGCAGCTCGGCATAGGTAGCTCGTCACTTAAGGGCAGCTCGACACTTATAGGCAGCTCGCCACAGGTAACTCGCCACTTACAGGCAGCTCGGCATAGGCAGCTGGCCACAGGTAGCTCGCCACTTACAGGCAGCTGGCCACTTACAAGCAGCTCGCCTCCTATTAGGCCACGAAGACCTGCCTTGGGTAGAAGCACCTCGACACATTATCAGCAGCTCGGTGAAAAGTAGCTCGGTGCAAGGTAGCTCATTGCAGAGTAGCTCGGCGTATCACAGGAAGATTTCTTACCTGACAACCGTACCTGCTAGATCTGGAGACTGCACCCACGTCTCTGGCTAGGCGGCGGCGTGCCTGCCAACTCTGACAACTCCTCGTGTCTGATAGGGCCGTACCCTGCAACGGTTACCTGCGCCCACCAGCTCAGCCTTGGCAAGTAACGGTTGCGGCAAAGAATTAGAGGCGGTTATTCCAGATCTGTCAGGACACCGCTCTATAAGATCTCTGACCCCCCAGAGGGGGAGGAGGATAAAAAATGGAGGTAACCCCTGCTCTCTAGCTCTCTCATTTCTCTAATATCATCTTCAAGCTCTCTACTATCAGAGTGCTAACTTAGCCATCGGAGTGGCCCTGCCGGGTAAACACACCCGGGTCCTCTGATCAGTTCTCGCAAGTCTCTCAGTTCCTGCCGTTCACAAAGATGAGCAGATCATCTCTCGCAAGGAGGATGGGACCTTCAGCCCCCACCGTCTGCAAAGAAGAGCAGATCATCTCATGCAGAGGGCAATCGGGTTGCACTACACTAGGGAGCTCGTCACCAGGTAACTCACCACCAGGGAGCTCGTCACCAAGTAGCTYACCACTAGGGAGCTCGTCACCAAGTAGCTCACCACTAGGGAGCTCGTCACCAGGTAGCTCACCACCAGGGAGCTCGTCACCAAGTAGCTCACCACCAAGGAGTTCGCACCAAGTAACTCACCACCAGGCAGTTCGCCACCAAGGAGCTCCATCATCCTCTGAGTCACAGGCCACCTGGAAGTAGGTCAAATGACGAAGTACTTAGCCAATAATTGGTACATCACAAAAAAAATTGGTACGTGACCACAAATAGTTACATCAATTGGCGTCGATCTGTGGGAACAAGCAACAAAAAGCTAAGTTCTCATCCTACAAAGGCTAAGTTCTCATCCTATAAAAAGCTAAGTCCTCTCCTCCCAAAAAGCTAAGTCCTCACTTTTTAGAAACTGAAACTCTCGCTTTATAGTTTCCATTTTGTATGAACTCAAAGACTATGCAAGGAGCTAACAGGCTAAGTAGCTCTACCAACTTTACTTTCAATTCAGATAAAACCTTATCAGTCCTCTTTGTGAGTTCCCCTTTACTAAGATGAGCTCTTCGTGGCTTCCGCAGGAGTTGGCGGCCAATAGATTGCATGGGCGCTCTTGCTGGTCGAGCCTTCCAAGGCTCCTGCGTGAGCTGGTGACCTAAAGTTTGTAGTGCTGCCCCCGAACGTCGAGATCCTAGTAGCTTCTTGTAGGAGTGGGTGATCGGCATTACGAGGCTAATGCAACACAATCATAGCTCTAAGACACCTCACAGGTAGCTTGGCACCTGGTCAGCCCGACACCTCACAGGTAGCTCGGCACCTGGTCAGCCCGACACCTCACAGGTAGCTCGGCACCTGGTCAGCCCGACACCTCATAAGTAGCTCGGCACCTGGTCAGCCCGACACCTCACAAGTAGCTCGGCACCTGGTCAGCCCGACACCTCATAGGTAGCTCGGCACCTGGTCAGCTTGGCACCTCACAGGTAGCTCGGCACCTGGTCAGTTCGACACCTCACAGGTAGCTCGGCACCTCACAGGCAGCTCGGCACCCGGTCAGCCCGACACCTCACAGGTAGCTCGGCACCTAATCAGCCCGACACCACATAAGTCCCAGTTGCCTCTTCGGCATGGGCAAATTCAAGAAGAGTGGACTACGAGTCGCTCCCAAAGCCTACGGGCCACATTACTGCTTAAGACCTAGTCGCTTCTTCAGCATGGGCAAAATCAGCAAAAGTGGACTATAAGTTGCCCCCAAAGCCTAAGGGCTACAGTATTGAACTGGTGGAGACCTCCTCACCTTACAGGCAGCTCCCAGAGCCTAAGAAATTGGATTAGCACTTACTAGGTCGTCGACTTACGGGCCAAAAGGAGAAACCTACTCCCTTCGCCGAGTTACTCTCAGCTCGGGAGTGGGGGCAAATGATGAGAGCAGATTTGGCCCTCCAGTGAAATTATGACACCTGGCACCTCATGCCAACTATGTGCAACCTCTTGACAACAAGACAGCTCGAGCTAACTACAGGCAGCTCGTCACCTACAGGCAGTTCACCAGTCACAGGCAACTTGCCACTTACAGGTAACTCGGCATAGGCAACTCAGCATAGGTAGCTCGCCACTTAGGGGCAGCTCGGCACTTATAGGCAGCTCGCCACAAGTAGCTCGTCACTTACAGGCAGCTTGCCACAAGCAGCTGGCCACTTACAGGCAGCTCGCCTTCTATTAGGCCACGAAGACCTGCCTCGGGTACAAGCACCTCGGCACATTACTGGTAGCTCGATGAAAAGTAGCTCGGTGCAAGGTAGCTCATTGCAGAGCAGCTCGGCGTATCGCAGGAAGATTCCCTACCTGACAACCGTACCTACCAGATCTGGAGACTGCACCCACGTCTCTGGCCAGGCGGCATCGTGCTTGCCAACTCTGACAATGCCTCATGTCTGACAAGGCCGTACCCTGCAACGGTTACCTGCGCCCACCAGCTCAGCCCTGGCAAGTAACGACTACGATAGAGAATCAGAGGCAGTTACGCCAAATCTGTCAGGACACCACTATATAAGATCTCCGACCCCCTAGAGGGGGAGGAGTATAAAAAATGGAGGTAACCCCTGCTCTCTAGATCTCTCATTTCTCTAATATCATCTTCAAGCTCTCTACTATCAGAGTGCTAACTTAGCCATCAGAGTGGCCCCGTTGGGAAAACACCCCCGGGTCCTCTGATTCAGTTCTCACAGGTCCCTCAGTTCCTGCCGTTCACAAAGATGAGCAGATCATCTCTCGCAGGGAGGATGGGACCTTCAGCTCCCGCCGCCCGCAAAGAGGAGCAGATCATCTCATGCAGAGGGCAATCGGGTTGCACTACACTAGGGAGCTCGTCACCAGGTAACTCACCACCAGGGAGCTCGTCACCAAGTAGCTCACCACTAGGGAGCTCGTCACCAAGTAGCTCACCACCAGGGAGCTCGTCACCAAGTAGCTCACCACTAGGGAGCTCGTCACCAAGTAGCTCACCACYAGGGAGCTCGTCACCAAGTAGCTCACCACYAGGGAGCTCGTCACCAAGTAGCTCACCACTAGGGAGCTCGTCACCAAGTAGCTCACCACTAGGGAGCTCGTCTCCAAGTAGATCACCACCAGGGAGCTCATCACCAAGTAGCTCACCACTAGGGAGCTCGTCACCAGGTAGTTCACCACCAGGGAGTTCGCCACCAAGTAGCTCACCACCAGGGAGCTCGTCACCAAGTAGCTCACCACTAGGGAGCTCGTCACCAGGTAGTTCACCACCAGGGAGTTCGCCACCAAGTAGCTCACCACCAGGCAATTCGCCACCAAGGAGCTCCATCATCCTCTGAGTCACAGGCCACCTAGGAGCAGGTCAAATGACGAAGTACTTAACCAATAATTGGTACATCACAAAAAAAATTGGTACGTGACCAGAAACGGTTACATTAGAAGCCGCAGCTATCTTGGTCAGAGAGCAAAGTGTTCACGCCCGCGGTCCAATAAAGAGGCGAAGTAGTGGTGTCTTTCATTTCAGAAGTGGTTTGATCCATCCGCACCATCTCGTCAATTTCAGCAGGTACCTAATAGCTGTTCAGTACCTGTGGTTGATCCAGGGAGTGCAGATTTCAGCAGCGGTTTGATCCTGGTTGGGCTCATCATGAATTAGGTCGAGGTGGCTGGTGGTTTCGGGATCCCGTAAAGGAGAAGAGAAGGAGTGCCGCCGCTGTTCAACGAAGGAGACGATGAACAGTGGCGGTGAACAGTCATCGTCAGATAGTGGTTGGTTCAGGGAGCGCAGTACCTGATTTCATGAGGTACCTAATAGTTGTTCAGTACTTGATGTGGTTGATCCAGGGAGAGACTTGCTGGTCGGGGTGTTCGACGATCGTGGTTTCTGCGTGTAGGCGAGCATTCTCGAGAGGGACAAAAGCGCTTCGAGATGTTAATTGCCTTGAGGGGGAGTTGCGTACAGTGAAAGGCAGTCTTATAGCCGGTCGTCGATTTTGATATCGTTCTCATTTTGAAAGCACCAAGTTTTAGGATTGATGTGATAAAGAAAATTAGATGAATCTTAAGGGAAATTTGTGTCTTTTACTATGACACTTAACATAAATAAAAGTTCAGGTATTAGATTATTGTATTTTAAAGTTTAGTTAGTAAATTGACACTCAGCAAAAATGAGAAAGCAGACATAACCGGAGGAGCAACCAATCGTTTGATGACCTTAGATGTGGGGCCATATATAGCTGACGTGTAATGAATTGAATGTAAGTGCTCCACGTCTCGCACCAATATGATTGCTGTAACAACCTCAGTCTCAGGCTCTCAGCCCATTGCAGGTTAGTTATCTTCAATTTTTTTTTCTCAGTTTTGCCTTCTCACTTCTCATTGTTTGCTTTAGTATGCTTAGGCATTCTTGAATGCTGTTTGTTTAAGATTGCAGGTTTGTTTTGTCACTCTTCAGCTTCTCAAAGTGATGATCTCAAGTCCTACTTAACTAAAAGTTTTTGGGATGGATTGGAGCAAATAATGTGGGAATTTAGAAATTTCTGTCAAATTTGAAAATCTTTCTTAGCCAATGCTAGTATTCTACAACAATTTTTTTTCTCTTCTTCATGGTGCTACACAATGGGAGAATAGCCCATCCACCATCTCTTTATTGCATAAGTACAGGAGGCATTTGACACATCTTTTTATGTGGTCTTTCGGGGTATTTTCACAACTTGGAAGACCAAAACATATGTACCAAGTATTCACAGAAGAAAAACCAATGTACTAAACATTCAAAGAAGCCCAAAATGGCCAAAACCAGAAAGCTTTCGAAGCTTCCTGTTTAACAGGTCTATAGACCATAGCAAATTAAGAATACTACAGAGAGAGAGAAGGAGAGATCTAGAAATACAAAGAAGCAATACTAGAAAATTTTATACCTTAGTTCCATTATTAAAATTCATTATACAATCAACAAAAGGTAAACAACCTACCAAAACTGTGGTCGATCAAGCCCATTAACATCATAAAGGTGTACAAAAATAGACCTTGAAAGCAATTGTCTTTGAATGCTGACTGCGATATGATATTATACATCTTCAATTATTGATACGAATCAATGAATGAATAAGAGATTAGGAAGAATAGATGCAGAGCAAGCATCCATGGATCAATCGACAGGTGAAGAAGTGGCTAGAGGCATTGTGCTTAATGGTTTCCCACGGCCCATAGTAAAACCTCGGGTCCCATCTGGCATTCTTGGTCCCCTGGGAGTTTGTCTGATGTGTGCTTCAGGCTGGTTATTGCTGGAACTGGTTGATTGTGGAGAAGGGGCAAATGGACCACCACGTCCACTCTGACTTTGAGTGCGCCCACGGGGCTTTCCACGGCCCCTTGCCCACCCTTTCTTTGGACCAGTTGTACTATCTTCAGCCTGAAATTAATAAAGGATGTTCCATTTCCATTTAACATCGTCGCATGCATAAATGAAGATATCGTAGAATTTATATGTCCACTTACACTGTTTTCCATGGGATTCTCTGTGTTATTAAGCTGAGAGGAGTCTTCCAGTGATTCGTATGGTGGCGTCTCTTCATCATCTGAGTTCCTATCGAAATGGTCGTAGTTTCTGCTCTTTACAACAGATCTTGGCTGCACATATGAAAAGATAAACTAACTGATCTGTTGTGGGATCACCAAATGGAATTTTTTATGAAAATACAAAATTTAAGTTGGCATTACCGAGCGTCTAAGTAGCAATCTTACACGAAGGCCTTTTCTCCAGTTCCTCTCATCATTCAACGTTTCAACCTAATCAAGTTGAAATTAAAAAACCCTTAATTTCATTCATTTGTTTGTAACTTGAATGAACTACCACAATGAACTAATGCATTCAATATATGCAGTGTAAACGTACTGCTTTCTCCGCCTGGTCGACAGTCTCGTATTCCACAAGCGCATGGAGCTTGAAATTGCAAATAAAGACGGTGGGCAAAGCAGATGAACAAGTATTAAAACACTGTCTTTAATAAACGTCCACCCTAAGTCATACACAGATTGATGAGTTTGTGGTAGAGTGTTACATACTTTGTTACTGATAAGTACATCACCTTTAGGACGGGAAGCGTTGGACTCCTGGGGATGGCATACCCGAATTGTCTTCACACTGTCAATCACAAAGATCCAACTGTTAGTATGCATTCAAGACTCCTTGGTATGCAGAATGCTAACAAAAGGAATGCCATACTTGGGTGCAGATCCAACCTTCCAACCACACTAAATATCTTTTCAAGGTTTTGATGAGAGTAATCTTCAGGTAAATTCTCAACAGCAACTGTACGAGACTGCAAGTGTAGAAGAAATATGTGAAAAAAGGCACACAGAAGTTGTTGCCAAGAGATGAGGTTGGAGTGTGCGAGTGTGAAATGCAGTTGATTCCAACTAAATATATAACCTGCAATTCCTCTTTGTCTCTTTCTGTGAAAAGGTGCTTCCGTCTAACCTTCTTTCCGTCGTCACTGACAACCTTCAGAGAGTCGGAAACAAAGAAAAGAAACAGGAGTTAAAATACTGGAATAAAATAACATGGTTATTTGATTGGTCCAAACAAAAGAAAAAAATTGAGAAATTCTTACAAGTTTTGGAGAGGTTCGGAGTGCTTGAATAACTAAATTGTTATTACTGACAAGGGACTTTATTTTCTTTGAAGATGCAATAACAGATATTGGAACTGTTACAATGTCATTCATAAAAAAAATGCATACTTTAATATCATAGCAAATCATTCCTCAAATCTTTTTTATATATGTAAATGAATGAATAACTCCTTACCATAACCTTCAGGATCTTTGTTAATATGTTTCATCAGCATATCACTTGCAACCAAACTCATGTCACTGAATTGATACTCTACCTGTTCCATTTGTAGACCATCTTTAGTAGGTGCCAGAAAACACATTCAGAGTTCAAATAGAAGTCCACATAAAGAACAAGGTTATTTGAAGATGTAGGAGAGAGTTCTGTCACCAATAAGGGGACCAAAATCCAAGGAATTAAAAAATATGGTTAGACAAAAGCAAAATACAAAGGAGCAAACTAAACATAGAATCACCCAATGGAATACTTGAAGACAATGGTCTAATGAATTAATCAAGACAAACATTTCCGTCATTGTATCGAATGGAAATAATGAGATAAGTACCAATATCAAAGCTCAAAGGGTTGATGACAGGATGAAAATTCTAGTCCTTCATGTATTAGAAAAGAATCTACAAGGAAAGTCTCTCGGTATTGATAATTTTTGCTGGAGTTTTGGCTAAATATGCAAAGCTATATTTCATTAGAAGGGCATTGGTGATCACGAAGGGGATGTTTGGTTCCATTGCTGTTTTGTGAAGAAACATTTAACATTTATTTTCACTTTATGCGTCATTAAGTGCCACAAGCCAAATAGTAAATAAAAAAACGCCTTACCATTGGAGGAAACATTATTGTGATGTTTCCTCTAATGGATGGCTCTCACTAGCCTAAGTAGGTGTTTGGCATCCGTGCTGAGAACATTGCACTGTTTTCTCATAAAAACGGTGATAGACATGTGCAATTGTAAGCACCTTTTTCTTTTTTTTTTTTTTGTTTGGAACTGGTGCTACTACATAAGCATCTCCTAAGAAAACAACATTGGTTTTGTTTGGTACCAATGATGACAGCAATGTTTTCAACATTGATCTATATTATCCAACATCCAAGATGATGCCACATTATTGCACCGTTAGCAGTAATGTGTCATTTTCTAAAAAAACATTAAATTTGGTGTTTCTCCATACCACACTTTCTCAATTTCCAAGGTGTGGTCTAGAACATACTTTTTTTTTTTTGGAAAAACGGTACCAAACAAGAAGGCGATGTTTGAAGCACCGCTTTCTCTAATGTGGCACCTATGTGGTGCCATTTTCTCAAAAAACGGTATTGGTACCAAACATCACCTAAGAAAAACATTTTCTTGATAAATGACTTAACCAAACAAAATTTCAAGTTCACAATATACCTATTTGACATTGAGCTGATGCTGATTTTTTTATAAATGGCAATGGTACCAAATACCATCTAAGAGTGTTTGGATAACCTAGACATTTGTAATTGCAAATGGCCAAATACTCAAATTTAAACACATGGTTTTGAAAACCGGACCAGAAACAAAACTGTTTTTGGCCACCGACTCCTGGGTCAAATAGTTAGACTGTCCGGTCTGAACCTTGGACAGTTTTGGGGCCTAAAACAGAAAAACTGGACCCAAACCTATGACAGTTCCCGATCAGCCAATCTAGCCATCTGGTCCAATCCGGTTTTCAAAACCATGTTTAAACATGTGGAAGAACATTGAATTAAAGAAAAGAACCTATAACCTATGTTAGATAAATTTTATTAAGACATTTATAGCTCGGTCATTATAAATTTTGTGAGTACAACAAATGCTTTGACTTATCAGGATTTGGTACAATTGATGCTTTTTTCATTTGTTTTTTAATAAGCAAAAGATCCATTAGAAACATCGAAACCAACCAAATCAGACGTCTGTTACAAAAGTATGACTGTTCGCTATAGCATGAGCAGGGCTAATATCCTTTCTGTTTACGTACATTCATTTTAAATCAACAAAAAATAATGAGATACTTAATGTGCTCCAGCAGAGCCTCTTCGTTCTATTCAATGCATATAGTTAGTTTTTTAATGAAAATGATTGATGTGATGAGACAATTTTTTAAAAATTTGTATTAAAAATCTCAAAGGGTTTTAATAGAGAGAATGACCATTCAGCCTAGTGTCATAATTAGGTTCAAAACACAATTGGAGTAGATACTAGTTCGGAATTGATGTCAATTCACCCACAGGCATTGATGTATAGAATGGGGGTATTTAACATTTTGAATTTTTATAGATATGTGATGGGATTCAAAAATCTGCAATGGGCCTATCCATACTTTTCTGTATAAAAAATGGGTCGTTTAAAACACGCATAAAACAAAATAATTTCATTCTTTTTTTTTTTTGAAAACGCAAAATAATTTATTCATAGCAATGGAGTCATTACAGAAATGAAAATAAAAAGAGATATCTGGCCATCACAGGATTTCAATCAACAAACTTCATTTCTAACTCTAATTAATAATTAATATATATTTTGGTGATGGTTTCCGTTTCATGAGATGTAATAAGGCTTCCAAGTGCGAAGGGGAAATTAAAATGAAATGATATCATTCCATGTGGCTTCCAAATGCTTCCTAATAGAAAAATTAAAAAAAAAAAAAAATTATATCTAGGCCTCACAAAAGAAGTACTCTTACACAAAACAAAACGGGGGATGTATGGTGAATAAAATTAAATGAAATATACTATTTCCCTAAGCATAACTCAAAGCATGATCGGGCCGGAAAACCATTTCTATCTTTGTTTTTCCTTTTAGATAGTTGTAACTTATCCCATCTAAACCAAGAAAAGATAATGGAATCAAACACAATTCAGAAATCTTAAATTAATGGCAAAACAAAAATCATTGAAAAACCAATCCAAGATATGTCGTAATCAAAATTAAAATCCAATCACAGAGATAACAAAATATATAAATTAAAGAAACCAGCAACGAGGATCAGATCCAGAAAGACACCAAACAATACCTGTTTAATGATCTTCTGCCGGAGATCATCGGTTAGGAAATTCTTCGAGGAGTTGGGCAGTGTGACATTGGAATTGGAAACAATCTGAATCGGTTCTTGTTCTGTAAAATAATACCAATCAGACCCGCTGCTCCCACCGAGAAAGTGGAAGAACGGGTAGAAATAACCGGAGATGGGCATCTGGGTTTGTGATCTTGGGACGAATTCAGGTGCGTGGACGTTGAATTTGAAAGAAACAGTGGTGTCGTTCATCTTCGCTTCATTGGATTCTTCAAGCTCTTTGTCTGGGTTTGCTTGTGCCATTTTGCTTTGTTTCTTTTCTATATCTTGCTTCGTTTCTTCAAATATTTTGTTCACAAATTTCTCTCCTTTTTCTGTGTGTGTGTGGGGAGTGTTGTTGTTCCCGTTTGTTTTCTTGTAACTGCCTTCGATATTGAATCCACATTCCCCGCCAAAATGAGGGAAGACGGAACTCGGAAGACCCCATCACCTCTTTTTCATTGCACACGCCACACGATAAGACCGCGGCAGGTGGGTTTGACCGGATCTAAATGTAAGGTCGGGTTTCCAAGGGCATTTTAGGCTTTTTAACCATTTAAGAAAACCCGATGCAGGTCTTACCGATTACCGAACCCGGCCTTGCAAAGATTCTGGGTCCAAGCACTGCTACGGTGCTACCGCTAGTTACGAAACGAAAGCCCATCTCACTTGTACTCATGCACACATCCGGACTCCAGACATGGTGGGCCTCATTTTTATAGTTAGATCGATGTGCAGACATAACTCATATTGGAACGGATAATAATAATTTAAGCATGTTGAATATTTTTGGACTAGTTTTCTCTTCAAGGTAGGCTCATCTGCTGATGGTGGTCTTTATGCCAGTAACATGGGCTAGCTAGCTAGGTGGCAAGTTGTGGGATCCATCATTCTATCTATACCATATAAAGCGGATGCTTGCTTTGGTTTTGCTGTTGGTATATATAAAAATTTGATTTTACCATATGATGTTAATTTATGTCTTTACACCTTTACTAGTACCATTAGTTTTGTTCTAAGTACCTGCAACTGTACATGGTTTTGATTTTTGAATTTGACAGCAAGTGTTCCATTTGAAGATAAGTTATCATCAAGTAATATGTCAATGTGTTAGATAACCATATCGAGGATCTCCAAAGAAGAACTTTTGGATGTTATATATTATAATTGGGTAGATAAAATCATAAAACAGAAACTACAAAAAAAAAAAAAAAAATCAAACACAATCTAAGCAACAAGTAGCAATCATCTCACTTCTCAGCTTCTGATATCTTTAGCTGATGAAGCTTGATGAATTAATTCGTCAAATACTAGCTAGCTATAATTCTATATATAAAGGCACGGGAATTGAAAGGAAATATATTGACTGGATATTAGTCTACACTACTCTATAAGCGAGACCTACTTGTATCAGGACTTAAGAACTCACGGAAGAGGGCCTGGAATTTCTCCATTTTCTTAATCGGAAGGGACAGAAAAACGCTCAACTCTTGGTCACTGCTACTGCTAGCACCCTCGCACTCAATGTCGGGGATTAATAGGATAAGGCCTTTCCTGTACTTCACCGCTGGGAAACTATAACTAGGTCGTCCCCAAGGATACTCCACCTCAGAAAACCGTAATCTCCACCACGACACGATGAGAAGATCCCCGTATGGAATCCCTTTGTACAATTCAATCCAGTCAATAACAGATCTAGCATACTCATCCGTCATTCTTCTGGCTCCCACCGACACCATCTCCACCAAGCGTGAGAAAGGAGCCTCTTTGATATCGCGAAAAGAGGCAGTGGCATAACCCGGGAGGATAGCGTTTCCGGTGTACGACGGCGGAAGGGGAGGACGTATTCTTGGCCGGATGTCAACAGCGTAGAGGACGGTCGACATCTGATCTAGATCATTCTCACCCACATCTTCTGAGAGGGCCTTGCATCGCCAGATATGAGCAGCGACCACGTTGAAACTAGTCGTTACGTGGGGGTTGCTTCCTTCATGCTTTGCCTTCTGTTTGAGTTTGGAAATATCGTCGGCACTTAGTCGGAAAATCTTGGGTACAAGGTTCTCCGGCATAGGTTCGAATAGTGTCTTGGTGATGGAAGGTTCAACATTTCGTGTGATTTCAAGCTTTACTCGCTCGGGGTGGGAGAAGGTTACACGTGGTGGAGATCTAGCGGCTAGGAGTTGACGATTGTTGTAAGGATTAACAGCTAAAGGTTTGCCGGCAGCAACACAGGAAAGATTTTCTATGAAGATTCTGAAGCTGATACCATCAAATAATGCGTGGTTGCAGGATACACCCAGGGCAAAGCCACCGCATTTGAACGATGTAACCTACAAAACCAAATGAAATAACCTATATATTATTATCCCTCTGATAAGCTTAAAAATTGTTAGAATCAAGGTACGTAATGCATTTGAAAGTAGAACCAGTTGGAAAGACGACTACTCTACCAAGACTCCAATTAAGAGTGTCGATCTACATACAGTAGTAGTCAAGCTCCACTCCTCTCTCTCTCTCTCTAGCCAGCCAAATAAAGCTGGAGACTTTAGGTTTTCATTATTTAATTATTACCTGGAGGACGCATAGAGGTTGGTCATCAGCTCCCAAGGTATCCAAGGCTTCTGCTATGAGTTGTTTAAAAACAGGACTGGGGTACAGCAGGTCACCAATCTCTGCAACAGACACATCGCTAGTAGCCACAACAAAGCCTACCCCTGCAGAGTTGCAGTCGATCTCTAAGCGATCTTGATGAGGGTTCAACCTCAACCTTCCTGCCAAGAAATCATAAGGCACAAGTATTTTTTGACATGCGGTTTCAAGTATATCAATGACGGTATTCGGTGGATAGTTAGCGTTGGGCTTGAAGAATTGGAGGCCTTCACTTCTGAAATTGAGGCCCTGGTCTATGTTTGAAAGAAACATGAACCTTCTCTCTGTTTTCTCCGTTGGGGAGACAGTAAAGGAACGTTGTATGGTGACCTTCAGGTCAGGAATCAAAGGTGTAAGGTCTCGGAAATGGTTTTCCATTGCTACTGTTGGGAAGATTTGTTGTGAACTCCTTGTCGCAAGCTTGTCAATTTATATTAACTAGCATAATGGCACAAGCATAAGTTGACATTTTATAATAAAGCTTAACCACCTTCACCAAAACTTTTATGGTAAGTGTGCATCCAAATTTTGGAGATGTGACCAAACCAAATGTTTCTATAATTGTTTATATATTTTTTAATACCTTTCTTTGTTTTCATCTTTTTAACATGACATCAAGTATTGATAAAATTGACCCAAAAAGTTGAATTGTTGATTCTTCAACAAATAGAAATAAGAACAAATTTTTAGATCGATTTTAAATTTTAATTTTATTTCTATCATCTAAAACAATTATACTTTGTCACACCTATTTTTCTTTAATATTTAATATAATTAATTAATATTGGATTCAATAAAAGAATGGGAGTTAACACTAAGATTTAATGAGTGGTAATTGGATGAGAAATGTGTTAGTACAAATTATATTTTGTGTGCTCATAATTAAAGAGAGACAAAATTTCAAAATTGGGACATTTTAGTTAAATAAAAGTTCCATATTCTCATTCATACTTTTCATATTAATATAAATAGATGGTTCAAATTTGGGGGAGAGTAAGAGGTTTCGAGTGCTTTATTAGCATTCCAAGTAGGGGTGTAATCGAACGAAGCTGAACCAAATTTCAGCATGTCTTGTTTCAGTTGAACTAAAATACTATTATGTTCAAGTTCGATTTGAACTCTATTTTTGTATTTGAGCTTAATCCAACTAAATAGAACTTGGATAAAAAGCTTTAAAACTAATAATATATTTTTATGTTTTATAAATACTAGTGGAATGGCCCGTGCGATGCACGGGGTATTTGATATTGATGGTGATGTTTGACTATACTTTTACATCTAGGCATAGGTGAAAGTTCACATTCCATTCAAGTCCTAAGACAATTATATAATACATAAAAAAAGACTATCCTTACAAAATGCTAAGATCTGAATTTTATAATTATAAAATGTTGGTTGCAAATGCATTAGATTGAAACATTAATGCACCAAATCAATGATAAAATTACATTCAACGATATTATATACAAATACAATTCATCCCAATGAAACACAAAATTCATGGAGAATTGGAGATGTCATTCTTAACCAATCTCTTGTTTTTTAATAACCTAAAACTTATGAAAATAATTACTATTAATGGTTAAAATTAAAATAAGCTATTATGTTAGTTTAATTAATTAACTATTGAATAGCAGAAGTCATTATCTGATATGACTATACCGAAGCATCATGAGGGAGATAAAGGCTGTAAAGGCATCCAGTTTTAATTGGGTAGCAAGAATAGCCAATGCAATGGTAGATGCATTGGCTAAGCAAAGGGATAAATAAACATCTGTTCTGGGTGCAAGTTGGAAACATAAGAAAAAGAAACATATCATTATAATAGACAAACCTAAGTTATAGTGGAGAAAAATCAAAACAAAAAGTAATAATTTTTGAAATTTCTCACTTGATGCTAAAACTCCTTACCTATCATTATGATGCACCAAACTACATTTTTGGGAGGCCTGAGCTAAAAAACCCAAAATGCTGAAAAACTACCATCAGTTGAACCACTGAAACCGATATTGATTTTAACCCTCTTTGAATATGCTTCAGTGTTGATGAACTTAAAAACCTATACCTGATCAATAAAAATCTATTAGTAAACCAAAACAATAAAAAATTCCATTCATGATTCATGATTCAGTAATCTATTGCTCATGAACCAAAATAGAAAAAATTATTTAATTTAATCACAAAAAATAGGAACAAAAAACACAAAACAGGAAATCTATTTATAAAACCTAATTAAAATCAATTGAATAATGCAGTTACATTTAATAAAACCTAAAAGATATATGAGAATGACTTGTAACTTTAGTTATTATTTTAGTCGAAGTTCTACAAAGTACCTTGATGTTCTAGAAAAGAGTATGAAATCTCAAAATTTTCAGGTTTTCACAAGAAAAAAAAAAGAGAAAGAAACATAAGAAACCTAAGTTATAGTGGAGAAAAATCAAAACAAAAAGTAAAAAGTAAAAATCAAAATTTTCACTTGCTGCTAAAAAGTAAAAATCAAAACCCAACTACATTGTTGGGAGACCTGAGATAAAAAAACCCGAAATACTGAAAAATTTATTAGCAACTACATTGTTGATAAACCAAAACAAAAAAATTTATTTAATTTGGAGACCTATTTATAAAACCTAAACCTAAAAAGATATATGAGAAAAAAACAAAGTTTAGAAATTACCACTGAGATGGGCAAAATCCTGACACTGTTGAGAACTATTCCGACAAACAAAAAGCAAGAATTTTTGAAATTTCTCACTTGCTGCTAAAAAGTAAAAATCAAAACCCAACTACATTGTTGGGAGGCCTGAGCTAAAAAAACCAAAATACTGGAAAATTTATCAACAACTACATTGTTGATAAACCAAAACATCCCGCAAACAAAAAGTAAGAATTTTTTAAATTTCTCACTTGCTACTAAAAAGTAAAAATCAAAACCCAATTACATTATTGGGAGGCCCGAGCTAAAAAACCCGAAATACTGAAAAATTTATCAACAACTACATTATTGATAAACCAAAACAGAAAATTTCTCACTTGTTGGTAAAAAATAAAAATCAAAACCCAACTACATTGTTGGGAGGCCTGAGTTAAGAAACCCAAAATACTAAAACATTTATCAACAACTACATTGTTGATAAACCAAAACAGAAAACCTAAACCTAAAAAGATCTTACCACTGAGATGGGGAAAATCCTAACACTACTGAGAAGTATTCCGACAGGCATTCCGCTTCGGTCTTCTTCCCCTTTAGGGCTGTTCATAAGAATGCCCAACCCGACCAAACCGACCAACCTGGACCGACCCAACCCGAGTCGGCCGGGTTTTCATCAGCACTGGTCGGTTTTGGGTTGTACAAATTCATAAACCGATGGTTCGGGTCGGTTTCGGTTTTCTTGTGTGAAAACCGAAACCGACCCGAACCGAACCGACTTAGTTCCTACTTAACTAAAAATTGAATTATCTAAAAATATATATTCCAATATATTTGTATGTATATTTTTGTTTATATATATATATATATATATATTTCTAAAATACATATTTCAGTTTTAAATATATTTCCAGAAAACTAGGTGGCCATGGGGGGCATAGATGAACTTAAAGTCGAAGCCGACCCAACCCGACTCAAACTGACCAGGTTGGTTTTGCTTAACACTGGGTCAGTTTCGGTTTCCTTCTCAGGTAACCCGACCAGGTCGGGTCAGTTGGAAAAACCTCAGTAAACCGACCCAACCTGACCCGTGAACAGCCCTATTCCCCTTAACGCAATAAGTCCGATTATCTTCAAATTCCAATAAAATAACACTTGGAGTTCCATATGTGACAAATGTTAATGCTGAAACACCCTCTATTACCTCTCTTTTCATCTTTTAGCACCAAAATCATTTGTGAAATATAGAAGAGAAGCTTCTTGTTTTCCAACGCCAATAATAGGGTGTTCGCCAAGTAGGACAACTGGCGGTGTTACAGGGGCAAGAAAGGGGAGAAACATGCATTTTCTATTACGAATGGAATAAATGAGGATATTTGCCAAAACATTTTTACTCTAGGGTGGTCGCCCAAAATCTACTTGTCCCATTCTCTTCAGGCATTTTAAGAGAGGATATGATTGGAAATATAAAATCAGGGAGGGGTAAGATTGGAAATATAAAATTAGAATGTTTACTTGTCCCATTCTCTTCAGGGGATACAATTGGAAATATGAAATCAGGGAAGGGACAGGACTGGAATTATAAAATCAGGGTGCTGGATGGAGGATTCCTCCATTTCTTCTTTTTTATAAATGGGTAAGATATGATCCATATATTTTTATATTCTATTATGTACATAAAATTGGGCTCGAGCTGAGCTTTTTATTGATTGAACTAATCAAATTTACCCTAAGATTCGAATTCAATTATAACCAAAGTACGGTTCCATTTAAGCACTAATCAAATTTACCCTAAGATTCGAATTCAATTATAACCAAACTACGGTTCCATTTAAGCCTTATTCGATTACACCACTAACTACTTGCTTTCTAGGTCCATAGCGTGTTGATCACTTCACCACTCTTTCTTTCTGTCATTTATTTATGATTGAGAACGATACATAACATTGTTCTCTCTCTCATATACCTCTAACATTTCATACATTTGTCTCTTCTAATGAGTTTTGCTTAAAAATTGTTAAGTAATGAGCATGCATGTACTCAATAAATATTTTTGCAGTTGTCTTAAGAGTTTAATTTAAAATATTTCAAGGGTAGGTTGGGGTATTTATTAGACAACTGTAGAGGTGTAAATTGGGCCAGGCCGCTTAGGAATATAGCCGTTGGGCCCCCCTTCCAAAAGGGCCCAACGGCTAGTTTCAGCTTTTGGGGGGGGTTACAAAAATACCC